GACCCTGCATTCACTATATCTGGTCTCCCCAGACCCCGCATTCACTATATCCGGTCTCCCCGGACCCCGCATTCACTATATCTGGTCTCCCCGGACCCCGCATTCACTATATCCGGTCTCCCCAGACCCCGCATTCACTATATCCGGTCTCCCCAGACCCCGCATTCACTATATCCGCTCTCCCCGGACCATGCATTCACTATATCCGCTCTCCCCGGACCCCGCATTCACTATATCCTGTCTCCCCGGACCCTGCATTCACTATATCTGGTCTCCCCGGACCCTGTATTCACTATATCTGGTCTCCCCAGACCCTGCATTCACTATATCCACTCTCCCCGGACCCTGCATTCACTATATCTGCTCTCCCCGGACCCTGCATTCACTATATCCGCTCTCCCCGGACCCTGCATTCACTATATCTGGTCTCCCCGGACCCTGCAATCACTATATCCTCTCTCTCTGGACCCTGCATTCACTATATCTGGTCTCCCCGGACCCTGCATTCACTATATCCACTCTCCCCGGACCCTGCATTCACTATATCCTCTCTCCCCGGACCCCGCATTCACTATATCCACTCTCCCCGGACCCTGCATTCACTATATCTGATCTCCCACAGTACACAAAACATGGAAATGCAATTATTTTAGTAAATATAAACTGCTAAATACCTTTTCTCATCAGCAGTATATATAGCAGTCTTGTGATTTCTATCAGTGCCCAGCAGAGCACTGGTAAAAAACTTGTAGGAGGAGTTTTCATTCTCCCCTGATTGTTCTATGAGGCTGCAAGATCCCTGACCCCTCTGTCTGGACAGTGCTGATTGGCCCTGTTGTGATCGCTCTCCCAAGAAAAAAAAAAAAAACCTCTAGCAAAGCACATCAAACTGAGCATGTGCAGCTTGTCCTCAAGGTTCTGCTCTATCAAGAGATGGATTGGGGACAGTAGAAGAAGGGGAGGATCAGAGATGACAGGATCAAACAGCCTTTTTACACAATGCGGAGGATTAACCCCTTAGGTTCCACAGGGAGTATAACAAGCATGCTTTACTGCATCTACAGACTGATTGTACTGTTGTGGGTTTAGTAACACTTGAAGAATACAGACTTGAACAGAAATTTTATGGAAACCAAAGTTTAGTGTCACTTAGTCACAGAAAAACAAATGTCATCTAAATTCATCCATCCTGTGCATTCTTCCTTGAATCTCGGTGTGCTTTGTGTATTTCCAGATCTGTGCAGTCATCCAGTGTGAGACTTCCTGTAATAAAGATCGCTCACTGCTGCTCTCTCTCCTTGTGCAGGGGGACTGGTCTGGTCACTGCCCCCTCCTGTAGTTTTCTGCAGCCTGTAGTGGGTGGGGCTTCTGGGCCCTTCCCACAGATCTACTTTCTGCACAGGCTATGTAAAGCACAGTGATGATGTCACTGCTACTTTTACAAGATAATATCTGGGTTTGCAAAGGCATTTGGTGCACACAAAGGAGGATTTGTAATGTTTGCAGCCATTGAGAAATATATTATAAAAGTTCACACATATATAAAGTGCCTTGAAAAAGTCTTCCTCCCCCTTGACATTTCCCCCATGTTGTCATGTTACAACCAAAAACGTAAATGTATTTTATTGGGATTGGATGTGATAGGCCAACACAAAGTGACACATAATTGTGAAGTGGAAAGAAAATGAGAACTGGTTTTCAAGATTTTTTACAAATCAATCTGTAAAACGTGTGGCGTGCATTTGTATTCAGCCCCCTTTACCCTGATACCCCTAACTAAAATCTAGTGGAACCAATTGCCTTCACCTAAAGGTCACCTAATTAGTAAATAGAGTCCACCTGTGTGTCATGTAATCTCAGTATAAAATACAGCTGTTCTGTGAAGCCCTCAGAGGTTTGTTAGAGAACATTAGTGAACAAACAGCATCATGAAGGCCAAGGAACACACCAGACAGGTCAGGGATAAAGTTGTAGAGAAGTTTTAAGGGGGGGTTAGGTTATAAAAAAAATATTACAAGCTTTGAACATCTCACGGAGCACTGTTCAATCCATCATCCGAAAATGGAAAGAGTATGGCACAACTGCAAACCTACCAAGACATGGCCGTCCATCTAAACTGACAGACCGGGCAAGGAGAGCATTCATCAGAGAAGCAGCCAAGAGGCCCATGGGAACTCTGGAGGAGCTGCAGAGATCCACAGCTCAGGTGGGAGAATCTGTCCACAGGACAACTATTAGTAGTCACTCCACAAATCTGGCCTTTATGGAAGAGTGGCAAGAAGAAAGACATTGTTGGAAGAAAGCCATAAGAAGTCCCGTTTGCAGTTTGTGAGAAGCCATGTGGGGGACACAGCAAACGTGGAAGAAGGGGCTCTTGTCAGAGGAGATGAAAATTTAACCTTTTGGCCTAAAAGCAAAACACTATGTGTGGCGGAAAACTAACACTGCACATCACCCTGAACACACCATCCCACCGTGAAACATGGTGGTGGCAGCATCATGTGGTGGGGATGCTTTTCTTCAGCAGGGACAGGGAAGCTTGTCAGAGTTGATGGGAAGATGGATGGAGCCAAATACAGGGCAATCTTAGAAGGAAACCTGTTAGAGTCTGCAAAAGACTTGAGACTGGGGTGGAGGATCCCCTTCCAGCAGGACAACGACCCGAAACATCCAGCCAGAGCTACAATGGAATGGTTCAGATCAAAGCATATTCATGTGTTAGAATGGCCCAGTCACAGTCCAGACCCAAATCCAATGGAGAATCTGTGGCCAGACATGAAAATTGCTGTTCCCAGACGCTCTCCATCCAATCTGACAGCTTGAGCGATTCTGTAAAGAAGAATGGGCAGAAATGTCCCTCTCTAGATGTACAAAGAGACATCCCCAAAAAGACTTGCAGCTGGAATAACAGCCAAAGGGGGTCCTACAAAGTATTGACTCCGGGGGGCTGAATACAAATGCCGCCACACTTTTCACACATTTATTGGTCACAAATGTTGGAAACCATTTCTCATTTCCCTTCCACTTCACAATTATGTGCCGCTTTGTGTCGGTCCTAAATTTGTATCCAAATCCTCAGCACAGATTATTAGACAACCCATACAACGTAACGGGGAGCCCTGCTTACCTGTGGAGGTGGGGCTAATAACAGGGGGCGGGATCTCCATTTCCTCGAATGCCTCCTTGTAGCTGTGCAGGTGAGGCTGTAATACAGACGCATCAACATTACCAAATGAACGCAGAGCTCGCTTCTCACAAAATATCAACAAATCGCAAAATATGAGTCAATAACAGGGTTGGACTACAGAACACCTCCCCCTCTGTTATGTAGACGAGAAAGGGGGGGGGTCTGTAGTTCAACAAGGGAGAAATGGGCAGGGCTGACACCACCGCTTGGGATATCAGTGCAGCAGAGGCAGCGTGCTGTCAGCTCATGCTGGAAAGTTCAGAGCACACTGGATTTCTGCCAGATGAGCAGCTATTTGTTGACCCTGCAGCATTTCCTAAGTGATAAGACACGGGGAAATGAGCGTTCATTGCGGGAATGTACAGTTTTTTAATTTTTATTTATTTTTTTATTATGCAGATACATACTAATAATGATATGCGGATAGAGCCCGCCTCAATTCCTGGCTGGGGGAAATCCAGCATCATCTAGCCCTTTCCTCCTCAGCCTGTTTCAAGCTCGCCCCTTTCATTCATTGGATTTCAGCTCTTGGAGGCCCAGCATCAAATGTGGGCATTGCCTACGCTGGTCTGCATGCCAAAACGTTTAACTTCCTACTTTCACACATAAACATTGATCCAGTATGCTTCAAGGGGTGGTTACCTCTTTCGGCCTCCCCCCCGGATTGGCCGCGATCGTGTTGAAAACTTCAGGTGAGACGCAGCGCACGGGAGAGCGAACTTTGCTGGGATTGGATCCGAGTTCCCCGGTGCTGTCTTCATACTGCCCTTCACTGGTGGTCCTCCTGCGTGGCACAGAGCCGATCTCGTCCGGGGTTTTGTCCCGTGTCTGGACACCTGAGGGACAGGAACAGGAAAGTCAGGACTGAGCAGAGTTTGGATGTCTACATTGTCAGCCGGGAGCCGTGCATTCTGCCGGGTTATAATCATTCCATGGGACGTGCATGGGACAAAACCATCAGGGACGTCCTCTGCAACACACACAAATTTAAATAAAAAAGTAAAATAAAAATAAATAAATAATGAAATAATAAATTATATTTAAAAATATATATATATACATACACTGTATATATATATTATTTTTTTTTTTTTTTTGTGTGCAGCCAATCATTGGCTCTGTCTTTTTTTTTTTTTTTTTTTTTTTTTATACTGCTGCTTCACCCCACAGATCCAAGAAAAAAGAGAATACCATTTCTGAAACAATAATTAACTCCCTGTATGGTCAGTGCTCTGCTCCTGACAGCAACCTCAGAATCTCCCCGTGCCTGAAACATGTAAGTGATTTATAGATCAGGCAGAGTCATTAGGTCTGTCACTCTGTTCTCTCCTCCTATCAGCATACTCCTTGTTAGCACATGAGCATTGCAGCACGTCTGTTTGTGCTGCTTCCTCCTCTCCCAGCCTAAGCTCGGTTGTACAGGGGCTGCAAGAAGCTAATGCTAAATAAATTCAGATTCTTACTTGCAGTAATATATTAATCTGTTCGCGCCGGCGCCTCCTGGCCCTTTAAGAGTTTAAGAAGCCGGGGTTTTAGGGTCATGTGACCGCCGTGATTCGCTGTCACATGATCGGAAAAGGTCCCGATCGAAAGGGGAGATTGGGACCTTTCCGTGAGTCACGGACACATGTGCTGGGATCGTGCAGGGCGCGCGCTCTCAACGCATATGTATTTTCTGATTGCACACAAAATGTGACCGCTCGGCATCAAGGCCCAGACGCCGCATATTTGCGTGCGCTCAGCGTAAATGGGTTAATGAATACAGAGCTGCATTGCAGCGTGCTTTTTATATATACCTGGAGTTCTATATATGATAGACGCACGCAAGGGCGGACTGGCCATTTGGAAACTCGGGCACTGCCCGAGGGCCCGGGGTCAGTAGGGGGCCCCATGAGATGCCACCGGTACCTTTTTCATAGGCTTTTTTGAGTTTGGGCAAGGACACAGGGACCCCATGATCCCCTATTGCCTGGGGGCCCCATGAGTTGTCAGTCCGCCCCCGGACGCACGCAGGCCGTGGGCTCAGCGCAGACCCTGCTGAGGGGTTCAAATAATAATGCAGACAGCAATGGAATGAATGTCAGTCCGGAGGAGTAGTTTAATGCCACAGACAGTCTGAGCAGTGAGGCCCCGGGCTATGGGGGGGGGGGGGGCTGCTGCTGGGATGTAAAGGTGCTGTGGCTTCTGCTGGATGTAAAATGGAAACATGAGACGAATGTGATAAGGTAGAACGGAAGAAGCAGGACTGTCGCTGGTCCACTGCGCAATCTGGAGGCCGGAAATTAATATTAGCTTCTATTTACACAGAGCAGCATTCTGTTCTAAGCAAAAGACACACACGAGGGCGCATCTAAGTGCAGCAAATAATATCATTTTTATAATAAAAAGCAAACATAGTTACAGATATTATGGCTGAAAAAAAAGACAAAAGTACATCTAGTTCAGCCATAAAAAAAATAAAAAAGTTATATCCCCACACCCACAGTATATCCAGAGGAAGGAAACAAACAGCAAAGCATGATCCAATTTGCTCCTGCAGAGGGAAAAATATTCCTTCCTGATCCCCCGAGAGGCAATTGGATATTCCCTGGATCAACTTTACCTATAAACAGGCCGCTCACATGGTCATTGGGAAGAATGCTCCTCACACTCGTGGTCATTGGGAAGAATGCTCCTCACACTTGTGGTCATTGGGAAGAATGATCCTCACACTTGTGGTCATTGGGAAGAATGCTCCTCACACTTGTGGTCATTGGGAAGAATGCTCCTCACACTTGTGGTCATTGGGAAGAATGCTCCTCACACTTGTGGTCATTGGGAAGAATGCTCCTCACACTTGTGGTCATTGGGAAGAATGATCCTTACACTCGTGCCCATTGGGGAGAATGCTCCTTACACTCGTGGTCATTGGGAAGAATGCTCCTCACACTTGTGGTCATTGGGAAGAATGCTCCTTACACTTGTGGTCATTGGGAAGAATGCTCTTTACACTTGAGGTCATTGGGAAGAATTCGCCCCTTACAGATATCTAAAAGATCAATGGTGTCAGTGGGAACAAAATGCTCATTGCTCAAGGAACCCCCAGCAACCTCTGGAGGATCCCTAGGATTCCATGGAGCCCTGGTTGAGAAACCCTGTTGTAGAATAAAAAGTGCATGTCACGTATTCACACGCTGTCATCTATGGAAGAATGCCCAGGCAGCACAGTAGCGATCCAGAGCAATAGGAAGCAGAACCACCAATATTAGGCACACGGACACAGGAGCCTATCTGACAGCGTGGGAACTTTTGCAGATGATGTCAGACACCCGGGGGCGTGGCTACAATTTTTGAGGCAGTAACACCTCTTTTTCAAACTGGAAAACCATCTTGAAATGTGTAGCCACGCCCCTTCCAAGTCCCCCAGAGTCATTGTGAATACATGACATGCAGTTTTTATTCTACAACATGTGAGTGCCTGTATAGCTATTTATTTATTTCAGGCTCTTCTATAGCACCGCCAATTTACGCAGCACTTTACGTAAATATATTGTACATTCACATCAGTCCCTAACCCTCAAGGGGTGTACAATCTAAGGTCCCTAACCCTCAAGGGGGTACAATCTAAGGTCCCTAACCCTCAAGGGGCGTACAATCTAAGGTCCCTAACCCTCAAGGGTATACAATCTAAGGTCCCTAACCCTCAAGGGGTGTACAATCCAAGGTCCCTAACCCACTCAAGGGGCGTACAATCTAAGGTCCCTAACCCTCAAGGGGTATACAATCTAAGGTCCCTAACCATCAAGGGGCGTACAATCCAAGGTCCCTAACCCTCAAGGGGCGTACAATCTAAGGTCCCTAACCCTCAAGGGGCGTACAATCTAAGGTCCCTAACCCTCAAGGGGCGTACAATCTAAGGTCCCTAACCCTCAAGGGGCGTACAATCTAAGGTCCCTAACCCTCAAGGGGCGTACAATCTAAGGTCCCTAACCCTCAAGGGGCGTACAATCTAAGGTCCCTAACTCACATCCATACATACACATACTAGGGACAATTTAGACAGGAGCCAATTCATCTTCCAGCATGTCTTTGGAGTGTGGGAGGAAACCGGAGTACCTGGAGAAAACCCATGCAGGCACAGGGAGAATATGCAAACTCCAGGCAGGTGGTGCTGTGGTTGGGATTTGAACCAGCGACCCGAGTACTGCCAGGGGGAAGCGCTAACCATTTAGCCACTGACATGCACCGTTTAGGAGATATTTGCTTTAGCAGCGCCGGTGATGTTACCAGGGCATGTGCACTGCGCTCTCCATGGACAGCGCGCCATCCAATGAGAGAGTTGTGCTTTGGCCAAAACTTCCGTGCATATGTGCGGGAGTGACGTCACCATGGCTCGGCCAATCAAATGGCCACACCCTGTGAACCCGGTAGGAAGACCAGATGAAGATGGAAGCCCCGGGGAGCATTGACAGCGCTCCACTGGACGGCTTTGTTTTCAGGCAAGTCTTTCACAACGTGTTAGTCTGCGATGCATACAACCACATTATGCTCTTTGCTTGCAGGGAGATTTTTTAGATTTTTTTTTTTTGTGGTTCACTATACTGCTTTAAAGGATCTGCTGCTGACGGCTTGGTGCCAGATACCGCAGCATACATTCAGGGGTCCATGCTTCGAAGGTTATGGTGGGTGGCCGTCCCGGAACGGAGGGGTGGCTGCCCTGGGCACTGTGGTATCATGTGAGGCGGGGGGGGGGGGGTCACCACAAAGAAATTTAGGGGGGCGGCAGGGGATAAGAATTGTTCTGGAGAGGAAAATTTGGTGAGGTATCCTAGGAGTGGTGATTTGTGCTGGGAGGGGTGTAGAAGATTTGTGCTAGGAGGAGGATTTTGTGGGTCTGTGCTAGAAAAGGTGATATGGTCAGGGGGGGGAGGGATTTGTGATAGGAGGGGAAATTGTTTTTGGTGGGGGATCTGTATGAGTAGGGATGAATGGGGGGGGGGGGGAGTATATTTATGCTAGGAGGGGAAATCTGGGGGAAGAGGAGAATTTTAAGTGGGACAGGATTATTGCTCCAAAGGGAAATTTGAGGAGTAGAGGATTTGTGCTAGGAGGAAGACACTTTTTTGGGGTGGAGGATTTTTCCTGCGGCATATGAAGAGAGAGCATTTGTGATGGGAGGGTGGATCTCAGTAGGGGGTGGATTTGTGCTGGGAGGGGGGATTTCAGTAGCAGACGGATTTATGCTGGGATGGGGGATTTCAGTAGGGGACAGATTTATGCTCGGAGGGGGGATTTCAGTAGTTGACAGCTTTGTATTGGGAGGGGGGATTTCAGTAGAGGACAAATTTATGCTGGGAGGGGGGATTTCAGTAGGGGACGGATTTATGCTTGGAGGGTAAATTTCAATAGGGGATGGATTTATGCTAAGAGGGGGGATTTCAGCAGGGAACGGCATTGTACTGGGAGGGGGGATTTCAGTAGGAGATGGATTTATGCTGGGAGGGGGAGTTTCAGTAGATGACGGATTTGTGCTGGGAGGGGGAATTTCAGTAGGGGGTGGATTTGTGCTGGGAGGGGGGATTTCAGTAGGGGATGATTTTGTGCTGGGAGGGGGGGGGATTTTTGTGCTGGGAGGGGGATTTCAGGGGGGATGATTTTGTGCTGGGAGGGGGAATTTCAGAAGGGTGTGGATTTATGCTGGAAGGGGGGGGGCTTCAGTAGGGGACGGATTTGTGCTGGGAGGGGGGATTTCAGTAGGGGACGGATTTGGCATGTCCTGGCACTGGTGGGTGGTCACAGTGTTATAGCCGGGTCATGTTCCCCTGCTCAGTAAGATGGGATAGGGAGGGCCAACAGTGTGTCTCAGTCCAGCTGTACTGCACAGAGCTGTCACTCCAACAGTGGGAGCTTGCCGTCAGGAAAAAATAGCAGAGAGAGTTATGATTTTGTCAGTTTATCGATCCTACGTCAATGTCCAATCAGCAGGACAGGGCTAACCGATGACTGAGCGGTACTGCTGACTTGTATTGGAGAAATGGGAACAAACACAATACAGCCAGGTGCTGGACCTTCACTGCAACAGCACAACAGCAGCAGCACAGCATGGCGCTCTTCCCAGCGTGCTGATTGGACAGAAGAGCATCAGCAGACCACTGACCACATCAACCCTCTGCTCACTCTTCTCTCTCCTCCTATTAGGTGTTTTATGACAGCTCATTAGTGAAATCTGATTGGCTCCTACTGTAGCCCCTCCCTCTTCCACTCCTGATACGCTGGGGAATACAGGAGACTGACGGCAAGATCAATTCATGTATTCACATTAGAAACACATATTAGAGCATGCCTAACCGCACTCGTGGGTTGACTCCCAAGGGCACATTGTGTGCACAGGACATAACATGAGCCGGATCTCAGGAAACCCCCATCCCGCGCCTCCGACATGCAGGGGGATAAAAGAAGAGGAGGTGGTGAGCATCCCTTGTCATCCACAACAAGTCCCAACCGGCCCAAACATTTCCCCGTCTGAAGACGATACACAGCTATGCCTCTGCAGATCCTTCATACGCCAAAGTGTCATTTCCTACACTCTACAAGAAGGAGCATTGTTCACCCGCCGAGGGGGGGAAAGATGGAAACTTGCAGACAATCAGAAGATTCTAGTCCATGCAGATCCCAATAGCGGGGCAGAAAGGGATAAAAACAGCTCAGGCTGAGGAACCAGCTGTGCAGAAGACTTGGCAACATCATTTCCAGGGGCCCCTTCCAAATGAGATGGTAAATCAGAGGTGGACACGCACAGCTCTGTCCGGGGCCTTCTAAAGAGGCCATGTGTGGCTTGGTTGTTACTTTGGCTAATATGTCATTCTAATGACACTTCCTATACCAAGCTGAATATTCCTACTAAAGCCGGCCAGACGCGGGTCGAATTCCGAAAAGAATTTTCTTTCGAAAATATTTTCTAAGAATTTTTGTTCGAATTTCGCACCATTAGCGTGTCACAGAAAAGGCCGATTTTCATGTGACCATCAAATCTGAGTGATCAGGCATGTTTGAAATTTTTTAAAAAATGAACGAATTTTGAATTAATGACGGGGCGAATAGTGCGAGAAATGTAAATAAAAAAAGAAACGAGCGTGAGCGGTGACCTGGAAAGAAAAGAAAATTCTTGGCCACGAAAATAATTTTATGTAACAACATGAGGAGACATTGAAGGCTTGGTTGGTTATATTTCTAAATCAATGGTGGCGCCATCGGGTTACAAAATGCACAAAATTTCCGATTTTCTAAAGAAAATGTGTTCAGAATTCGACTCATGTACGGCCTGCATAAGCCTCACTTGAGAGCGAGCCGGTAAGTGGCATTTCTCAGAGAGGATATCTACACTGATCATCAGTGCCCTGATGATCAGCTTAGCCCCATCAGTGCAACCAATAGTGCCCATCAGCGTTGGCTATCAGTGCCCATAAGTGATGCCTGTCAGTGCCCATCAGTGTCACCTATCATTGCCCATCAGTGTCACCTATCAATGCCCATCGGAGGCGCATATCGGTGCAGCCTCATCAGTACCCATCAGTGCAGCCTATCAGTGCCCATCAGTGCAGCTTCATCAGCGACTTTCAGTGCCCATCAGTTCAGCCTCCTCAGCACCTATCAATGCCCATTGGTGGCGCATATCGGTGCAGCCTCATCAGTACCCATCAGTGCAGCCTATCAGTGCCCATCAGTGCAGCTTCATCAGCGACTTTCAGTGCCCATCAGTTCAGCCTCCTCAGCACCTATCAATGCCCATTGGTGGCGCATATCGGTGCAGCCTCATCAGTACCCATCAGTGCAGCCTATCAGTGCCCATCAGTGCAGCTTCATCAGCGACTTTCAGTGCCCATCAGTTCAGCCTCCTCAGCGCCTATCAATGCCCATCGGTGGCGCATATCGGTGCAGCCTCATCAGTACCCATCAGTGCAGCCTATCAGTGCCCATCAGTGCAGCTTCATCAGCGCCTATCAGTGCTGCCTCATCAGCGCACATCAATGAAGCAGAAAAAAAACACTTACAGTTGTGCTCAAAGGTTTGCACCCCCCTGGCAGAAATTGTGAAATTTTGGCATTGATATTGAAAATATGACTGACATGCCAAAAAATGCTCTTTTATTGAAGGATGATGATCATATGAAGCCATTTATTATCACTTAGTTGTTTGGCTCCTTTTTAAATCATAATGATAACAGAAATCTGGCAGTTGGGGCTGCAATCTTTCTTGGTCTACCTGTACTTGGCTTGATATCAAGAGGTCCCTGAATTTTCTACTTCTTAGTGGAAGTGATGCCTGGAATATTCAAGACTTTGGACATCTTTTTATGTCCTTTTCCATCTTTATAAAGTTCCATTACCTTGTTACGCAGGACTTTTGACAGTTCTTTTTTGCTGCCCATGGCTCAGTATCTAGCCTAGTCAGTGCTGCCACGTAAGAGCTAACAAACTCATTGGCTATTTATACACTGACACTAATTGCAATTTAAAAAGCCACAGATGTGGGACATTAACCTCTAATAGGCATTGCAACCCGTTTGTGTCCCCTTGTGTGTCTGTACCAAGGCCGAACATTCCAGGGGGCGGAGACTTCTGATCCGGGGGCGGAGACTTCTGATCCGGGCCATTTGGGTGATTTCTGTTATCATTATGATTTAAAAAGGAGCCAAACAACGATGTGATAATAAATGGCTTCATATGATCATCATCCTTCAATAAAAGAGCATTTGTTTGGCATGATCAGTCATATTTTCAATATCAATGCCAAAATTTCACAATTTCTGCCAGGGGGTGCAAACTTTTGAGCACAACTGTATTTACAACGCTTTGTAACAGAAACGAAGAAAAACTTTTTATTTCAAAAATTTTGGTCTATTTTCGATTGTTTAGCAAAAAATAAAAACCCCAGCGGTGATTAAATACCACCAAAAGAAAGCTCAATATGTCCCAAAAAAATTATAAAAATTAGTTTGGGTACAGTGTTGCATGACTGTGCAATTGTCATTCAAAGTGCGACAGCGATGACAGCTGAAAATTGTCCTGGGCAGGAAGGGGGTAAAAGTGCCCCGGTAGGCAAGTAGTTAAACTTTGTTTTTTTTTTACAACTTTTTAGTTACTTCCTGGTTTTCAGGCTTAGACAAATGATGTCATACATCCCAGAAGTCTTCATTAGGGAAGGAGGGGCTTTGTCAGCTAAGCACTCCCTCCTGCCTTCATGTCTGAGCTAAGGGCAGATGGATTCCAGGAAGTAAATGCTACATGACTCATCTGCCCTTACTCAAGATGGCCACTGCCAGAAATGCCAGGAGACATGGATGGATGGGGGAGTTTGTTTTGAACATTAACCATTAGCCGCCCGGCCAATGGCCGTTTGGCGGCTTCAGATGTGTCTCTCCATTCCGGGTGCACGCCATTTGGCGTGCTCCCGCACATGCGCCGTTTGCGCCAATGCAGAGCGGTGCAGCAGTGCGATCTGTCACCGGCCGTGCACCTCGGACACGGCCGATGACAGATCCGAGTACCGGCTCCCGTTGCTGGTACCATGTGACCTGCTGTGACCAATCACAGCAGGTCATATGACAGTTGTATACAATGGATGGCTTCATTCATGATGCCATCCATTGTATACTAGTGTCTAGCTGTGAATGGTCACAGCTAATCACATGCACATGTCATGTGATTAGCTGTGACCAAATCACAGCTAAGCACAAAAAAAAAAAAAAAAAAAAAAAAAGCTGAATGAATCGATTTCATTCAGGTAAATGCTTGCTTATAGCAAAGTAATTCTTTGCTATAAGCAAATTGTGTAAAAAAAAAAAAAAAAAATACTGATCACTTCCCCAAAGTAGTACAATGTTACTATGGTAACATTGTACTACTTTGGTCATAATAAAATCTTAAAAAAAAATCTTAAAAAAAAATAAAAACAAAATGTAATAAAAAAGTAAATATAATAAAAAAATAAAAAAAAATAAAAAAAAAATATATATATTTTTTTTTTTTCATACTGTCACCAGTCAGTGTCCCTGTTCACCGCCATGCCAGTTATATGATGACGCTGTACTGCACTGGTGACAGTATGTAAAAAAAAAAATAGTGAAAATAATTTTTTAAATGTTTTCATTTTCCGAAAAATTATGACAAAAAAATACAACTTCAAAAAACTCGCCATGCCTCTTATGAAGTACATCGGACTGTCTACTTTGCAAAAAGGGTCATTTGGGGGATATCTGTACTATTCTGACATTCTTGGACCTCAAGAAATTAGATAGGCTGTCAGTACTTCAGGATGATCAATATTCAGATCTATACCATAGTTTGTGAACTCTATAACTTTCCTACAAACTAAATAATACATCCTAATTTGGGGTATTTTCACCAAAGACATGTAGCAGAATACATCTCGACCTAAATTTATGAAGAACAATTATTTATTTGTAAACTTTTATAACAGAAACAAAGAAAAATGTGTTTTTTTTTCAAAATTTTTGGTCTTTTTTTGTTAATTTAGCAAAAAATAAAAACCCCAGCGGTGATTAAATACCACCAAAAGAATGCTCTAGTTGTGTGAAGAAAATGATAAAATTTTAGTTTGGGTACAGTGTTGTATGACCGCGCAATTGTCATTCAAAGTGTGAGAGCGCTGAAACCTGAAAAATGGCCTGGGCAGGAAGGTGTAAAAATTGCCCGTATTGAAACGGTTAAACATTAAAAAGCGCTTTTGGTTTGTGGTGCTCAGATACAGTGTAGTTCCACTTTAAAGAGTATGCAAAAAGGCAAAACTTTACTCTTTAGGTTTTGGCTGGAGTGGGGAGGATTAGATTCTCTGCCAAGTTTTTATTGCCATCATTTTCATGAAAGTTTTTAAATAATTGGCAGGAAACATAAGGCAACGCATTTCGAGTGTGCAGACACTATCCCTTCATCAGGGCTTAAATAGCACGAGGGCCTTTCAGAGAATACTTTTTATTTTCTGATTGAATGCAAAGGGTGCTCTGACTGGACGAGGTGGAGAGTGTGATGTCACCACCCTGCCTCTCCACCTCGTCCAATCAGAGAATGCTTTGCAAAGCTTATCTGAATGGCAACCTCCTGAGCTCACAATGCGGCAGGACAGCATGGGGCCCACAAGTGGAGATCATTGGAGTAGCAGTGTAGTAACAATGTAGTAACGGTGTTGATATTTATGACTACAGATCACATACTTATGGATAATAGGAAACGAACCTAACATGCAAAAATCGTCATCTTTCTGCAGCAGCTAGAACTGAAAACCAGCGCCATTTCCATACGTTTCCAGTTACACGGTTCTGAGCTGTGTGAATGTTTTGCATACAGACGAGACCTCTACATGTGCGAAATAAAGTTTTCAAACATGTACTTTATTAATGGCATATGGTACCAATACGGAGAAGCTGATATAATGGAGCCAAATTGGGGGGGGGGGGGGGTAGAAAGAAAAATAAAGTTTATGTAAAGCCAAAAGTTTTTTTTTTTTTTGCTGTGAATAGAGAACAGTTAAGACTCCTCTTAAATGTTTTTCTTTTTGTCTATGTCCCTTCACTTCCTGTCCCAGAGACACGACAGGAAGTAAGAGGAAATCTCTTCAAAATGAGGGGAACTCCCCTCCTGGTTATCATCCAAACAGGTCCATTGGAAGATTTCCTCTCCTCCTTTTCCTGTGACAACTCGAACATTTTGGATTTCCCTGCACCAGAGACAATGGTCATTTGGACCAAAAGAGAAATAAAAACCTCACAGGTGTGCTGACCCTCCTACAACTCGCTGTCCTAAAATGAGAAATAATCTCACTTTGGGATATGTGAATGTACTACACATGTTGACTCATTTAAGGGCTTTTTAATTACTTTAGTCTCTTATCACCCTTTTTGCTCAACAAAGGAGGCTCTAGATGTGCATTTGGCTGATGAGACAAAAAGATAAAACAAATCATCCTCCATAAGTTGTACCTGTTTATCTGTTGCCCTCTCTCCTATACAGCTTCCCAAAGCACACATTTTAAACAGCATTTTTGAGCTTCCAGAGGCAGGGGGAAGGGATCTGATGTCACACACTGTACAGCAGAGAGCAGGGAGCTGAGTGTAATCTGAGACCTGAGTGGAAGGTAAAAACAAAGTTTCATAGGGAAGCCTGCACAGTTGAGGCGGTCATTTGCCTACTGCATTGGATGTGCGTGGGGCTGACCCCAGGATCCATTGGTGTCATTATTACCTGTCACAGGTGGCTCATGCAGATAGCATAGGAAAGAGAGAACAGATAGGAACCACATGCGGTGCTTTGGCTTGAGGCTAGTACATACTATTGAAAAATTTGGTTTGTTCATTTTTTCAGAGGTTTACAACCACTTTAACCTCTTCACGCCGGCCGAACGCAAATGTGTGGCCTCCCGGGGTCTGGGTCTAGATGCCGAGCGGCCGCACATTTGCGTTCTTTTAAAAAAGGACATATGTACCAAGAGCGCGCACCCTGCTCGCTCCCATCACACATGTCCGGTACTCACGGTAAGGTCCCGATCTCCTCTTTCGATCGGGACCTTTCCCGATCATGTGACCGCCGTGAAGTGTCGTCACAATGCCCTAAAACCCACCCCCCGCCTCCCGGCTTCTGAAATTCTTAAAGGGCCGGAAGGCGCCGGCGTGAAGGGGTTAAAGACCAATGAAAGAAAAAAAAACAACAGTTTTACTAGTCCCTGCTGTATCCAACATGAAAATAAAGGTTTGGTGGTATATAGGCTTTAACTCCAAGCATGCTGCTTCTGGAAACAAATGTAACTTATCCCCTGAGACCAAGCATTAGGAGTTGTGAGAACTCTTCCATCCTTTTCTAACATGTGGTTCTCTCCATTGTTGGTTAACAGCCCGGTTGCATTGGGTGCGACTTGGCATGCGATTTGCATGCCAATGCGTCTTGCAAATCGCATACCAATTCACACCCTACTGTCCGCAATTGCAGCAGCCATATCGGCGCGGTTCGGACTTGGTCGGAGCCGCACCGATTTCTAAAGTAGTGCATACACAACTTTTGGTGCGATTTACATAGACAACTGTGTCAGATGTCTTGCAAATCGCACCTGAAATGGGCATGTTCCCCAACTTTGAAATCGTGCGACTTCACTGTAAGTCAAAGTCGGGTTTGATGTGACTGGGGTGTAAAAGCAAAAAATTCGATGATGATGACACAGTAGTGAGGAGAAGAGCTGACACTTCTAAAATGGAGCTGGCTATTAAGAGACAACATAAAACCCATAAATAGATTGTAAGCTCCAAGGATCAGGGCCCTCCTATCCCTCTTGTATTGAACTGTATTGTTGCTGTATTGTCTCCCGTTATATTGTAAAGCGCTGAGCAAACTGTTGGCGCCATAAATCCTGTATAATCATAATATTAATAATATATAAATCCTGTATAATAATAATATATATAAATCCTGTATAATAATAATATATATAATCCTGTATAATATTAATAATAATATAAATCCTGTATAATAATAATAATAATATTAAAAATCCGGTATAATATTAATATATAAATCCTGTATAATAATAATAATATAAATCCTGTATAATAATAATAATAATATATAAATCCTGTATAATAAATAATAATATAAATCCTGTATAATAATAATAATATATAAATCCTGTATAATAATAATAATAATATATAAATCCTGTATAATAATAATAATATAAATCCTGTATAATAATAATAATAATATATAAATCCTGTATAATAATAATAATATAAAATCCTGTATAATAATAATAATATAAATCCTGTATAAATAATAATATATAAATCCTGTATAATAATAATATAAATCCTGTATAATAATAATAATAATAATATAAATCCTGTATAATAATAATATAAATCCTGTATAATATAATAATAATATATAAATCCTGAATAATAATAATATAAATCCTGTATAATAATAATAATATATAAATCCTGAATAATAATAATAATATAAAATCCTGTATAATAATAATAATAATATAAATCCTGTATAATAATAATAATATATAAATCCTGTATAATAATAATAAATACAAGTGTCTTATTAACTGAATTGTTACCTTGTTTCAATAAGCCAACCTTCAATCCTCACCTGTTATATTATTTTACACATTTTAAGAGAAGCAACATTGTAACAATATAAAAAGCATTAAGTTCAACGTTCATAAAAAATATAATTCATAAAAAATAACAACTTTATCCTACATTTTGTTGTGTTAGTTTACCTACAAACCAGTGAAAACACACAAAAACGCAAATGCCTTAAAAGAGAGATTTCAAACCTCATGCTTTCTGGTGTCATAGCCAGTCATTGGTTAAAGGCTTGAATTCATACCTTCATCACTCCATGCAATCGAAAAAAAAAAAGCAGAAAGGACAGTTGCTGGTCACAGCAATCCATCTTACCCAAAATATTAGTTGCTGTCAGAATTGTTTGGTTATTACACACAGTCTCTGTACAGCACATAGCAAGTAAGTGCTAGAGCGTACCACCTCCTGATACATGTGACAAAGTAAAGCCGTACACAGAACTCATGAATGCACTAAATGGTACTTAATACCTGTTTCATGACACCTGTACAAGCTCTCATACCAACTACTGTGTCCAATAGGAAATGTCCACATTTTGACTTGTTGCCTGGGTTGTCTGATGTCTACAGTTGTCCTCAGTTCTCTGTGGAATGCTTGTGTAGACATAACATTATACAACAGACTTTCTCAATTTTTTTACCCCAGAGGAAAATACATTTTAGGTCTTATGGAAGCCCCACTAAAATGAATTAATTGGTGGTCAGTGGGAAGAATGTCCCTTACATTGGTGATCAGTGGGAAGAATGTTCCTTACATTGGTGATCAGTGGGAAGAATGTCCCTTACATTGGTGATCAGTGGGAAGAATGTTCCTTACATTGGTGATCAGTGGGAAGAATGTCCCTTACATTGGTGGTCAGTGGGAAGAATGTTCCTTACATTGGTGGTCAGTGGGAAGAATGTCCCTTACATTGGTGATCAGTGGGAAGAATGCTACTTACATTGGGGGTCAGTGAGAAGAATGCCCCTTACATTTGGGGTCAGTGGGAAGAATGCCCCTTACATTGGGGGTCAGTGGGAAGAATGCTCCTTACATTGGGGGTCAGTGAGAAGAATGTCCCTTACATTGGTGGTGAGTGGGAAGAATGCCCCTTACATTGTGGGTCAGTGGGAAGCATGTCCCTTGATTTGGTGGCCAATGGGAAAAATGCCCCTAACTTTGGGGGCCAATGGGAAGAATGCTCCTTACATTGGTAGCCAATGGGAAGAATGCTCCTTACATTGGAGGTCAGTGGGAAGAATGCTCCCTACATTGGAGGTCAGTGGGAAGAATGCTTCTTACATTGGGGGGTCAGTGGGAAAAATGCCCCTTACATTGGGGGGGTCAGTGGGAAAAATGCCCCTTACTTTGGTGGCCAATGGGAAGAATGTTCCTTACACTGGTGATCAGTGGGAAAAATGTTCCTTACTTTGGTGATCAGTGGGAAGAATATCCCTTACATTGGTGGTCAGTGGGAAGAATGCTCCTTACATTGGGGGTCAGTGGGAAGCATGTCCCTTACTTTTGGTGGCCAATGGGAAGAATGCTCTTTACATTGGTGGCCAATGGGAAGAATGTTCCTTACATTGGTGGCCAGTGGGAAGAATGCTCCTTACATTGGTGGTCAGTGAGAAAAGTGTCCCTTACATTGGTGGTCAGTGGGAAGAATGTCCCTTACATTGGTGGTCAGTGGGAAAATGTTCCTTACATTGGTGGTCAGTGGGAAAGTGTTCCCTACATTGGTGGTCAGTGGGAAAAATGTTCCTTACATTGGTGTTCATCCTTTAAATCTGCTAAAAAGACCATTTGGTGTTATGCTGCTGGCTTTGCCAAATGAGATTAACAATTAGACCTGGAACTATTCAGGAACCAGAAGATGGAAGGTCAATCTGCATAGCTCAAAGAACCCCTAGCAACCTCTTGAGGAACTCTAGGGTTCAATGGAACTTTGGTTGGGAATGGCTGTTCTACAGCGTTGTGACAACGAGCAACAAGTGGACAATTTTTCCCAAACACAGTGTATACTTTAGAAGAGCTGGTCCAAATGTAACTGATTAAGACTTTTATTGAAAACCATTTGTACAACTGATCATTTTGCTGATCTGCCTTTGCCCCGTCAGTTTTAACAAAGATCTACAAGAAACAAGAAGCTCTTTCGGTGGAGGTTCAATAATTTAGAGCCCTCACGTCATTAACGTACAAGCAAGGGCTGTGGGAAGGCTAAGCCCTAATTTGAAATCAACAGAGCTAAAATGAAGTGTATGCTATAGGATGTGCTACCATAGATGCTTACAGGACCGAATAGGTTTTCAGGGATGACACCAGTAATCATTTCAGACATTGGCTCAGGAGTCACACAGCTCTAAGCTCATGCAGAAGTAATGACCCAAGCAAATCACTCAACAGCAATACCGAGTTTAGCTCCTTCTCACGAAGATCCTTGTTATGACTTACAAAGCAGCTTATGGATCAGTCATTGAGTAGGTATAGGCAATATAAGTAAGCCTCTGGCTCTCCAGTAACCTCAAGGCTCAGCATACCAGCAGATATATTGTCACTGGCGGTTTCTGAAAAGCTAGAGGTTAGCGGTTCACAACACAACTGACTCTAGAAACACTTTGTCACACTGCTTGAGGGCGCAAAACGCCATGCAAAATGGAAAGGAGATGGCAGAGAAGGACAAACCAGAGAAAGTGAAGGAACGCTGGCGGTGAAGCGGAGGTGAGTGGGGGGTGTTCATACTTTTACGGATATTCCGGAGTTTGTTGTTGTACTCTGGTGGACGGATGGAAGGGGGTGGGACCATGGCGGATGGAGTGATAGACAGAACAAAAAAAAAAAAGTACACAAAAAAGGCAAAAGGACAACACAGACAAATGAAAAAGGGGGAAAATGAAAGTTAGTTCTTTGCGATTGAAATGAATGGAAGTGTAAAATGATAAAAAGGAAAAACAGAAAAAACAGGGCTGATTTACAAAAACAAGTCCATTAAAAACGCAGTTATTTGTGCTTAATTTGCTGAATTACATGTTGGATTCTTATCTCCTTCTGAATTCTTCATAATGCACAACAAATAAGTGAACCCAGGATTAAAGCTGAATTCCAGGAATTCAGCCAGTTTGTAAAAAGTGAAGGCACACTATGAGCTTCCAGGGGTCTCCAAACTTTCTGAACAAGGGGCTGGTTTACTGTCCTTCAGACTTTGAGAAGGCCGGACTGTGGCCAACATGGGTAAAAAAATGCCCTGCTGTCAATGGGAGAAAACAATGCCCCATCATTGGTATTAGGGGGAGAAATATTGCCCCATTGTTGTTATTCTGGAAAGAAATGGTACCCCATCATTGGCAATAATAGGGCCCTTCAGCTGGTGTCAGTGGGAGGAATAATATGCCCATCAGTGGAAAGAATAGTACCCCATCATTGGTGTCAGTGGAAAGAATAGTACCCCATCATTGGTGTCAGTGGAAAGAATAGTACCCCATCATTGGTGTCGGTAGAAAGAATAGCACCCCATCATTGGCGTCAGTGGAAATAATAGTACCCCATCATTGGTGTCGGTAGAAAGAATAGTACCCCATCATGGTGGTAGGTATAGAGCCCCATTGTTGGTATAAGCGACAGGAATTATGTTGGTGTAGAAGGAATAGTGCTCCAAGGGCCTGATTAAGGCAAACAAAGGGCCACATTCGGCCCCAGGCTGCACTTTGGAGACCACTGGTTTAGTCCCAGGGGCTGCATGACATTTCCTGGGCTGATCTCTATTATTTACATTTGACAGGTTTATTGTTCTGCCCAGAGACACTCTGGGGATCTGAGAGCAGAGAAACACACATCTATGCCAGCTCTTCCCCTCTGCTGCCCATTCACAGAAGCCTTGGTATCTTGTGAATGTGTTCACATAATACCAAGGCTTCTGTGATTGGGCAGGAGGAGGAGTGCTGTTCAAGATGCAGAGCTCAGAAGGATCAGGTCGCTCTCTTGGAACAACAGTGATTATAGTATAGAATACTAGAACGCTGTCAGACTTAAATAATAAAGTTAACCCCAGGAGGTGTCATACACCCCACCAGACTTAACTCATAGTGTGCCTTCATTTTTTTTTTCATCTTTAAAGTCTACCTATTATTATTGTACCGTATATTGCTGCAGTTCAGATCCGATTTGCAGATGTATTTTTCCAATATTTAAAATAGAAGCAAAATGAAGACGTTTATGTAAATGAGCCCCAAGCCAATCATGTACCATTAAACATTGAAAACAAAAATATACCAGTTATGACAGTTTAAAAATGTTGCTCTGTCTTGGACCAAGTGCAAAGACAACCTCCACAGTGTAACAACCAATCATTTTACAGGAATAAGAAAAATGAATTATGATTGGTTTACCCTTTGCTCGCTGATCTTTGATTTTTTTTTTTTATTCTCTGCTTTTGTAAATTCCAACCACTTCTGCAGCTAATAGTTGCCACAATAGCATCAGGAATGCAAATGAGACATACAGGTGAGGTTATCCCTTCTACTGCTGGTACAAATAAGCATGTAGGTCACAGGCAGGGGCGGACTGACCATTTGGAAACACTGACACTGCCCGAGGGCCTGGGGTCAGTAGGGGAACCCCTTGAGATGCCCCTGGTACCTTTTTCATAGGCTTTTTGGAGTTTGGGCAAGGACACAGGGGCCCCATGATCCCCTATTGCCTGGGGGCCCCATGAGTTGTCAGTCCGCCCCTGGTCACAGGTGTCAAACACAAGGCCCGATGGCCGAATCTGGCCCTCCAGGTCATTTCATGTGGCCCTTGCACCTCTCCTGCAGGTACCCCCTTGTCTCAGCCCCTACCTTGTCTCAGCAGTCCCCAGCAGAGAGGAAAATAGAACAAATCTGCCAAATCCTCCTCATCTGCCTCCCCTGGTCTCAGCATTCACCAGACTCTTGTAACTGACTCCACTCCTCTGGTCCTCCTCCAGACCCTGCACTTTCTGCTTTCCAGCTCTGCCCCCTAAGGGGATGCAGGGTGATGTTAGGGAAGGTGTGGGATTCTTGACATCTGATGTAATGGGGGTTGGGATGCTCTGGACATCTAGTCTTACAGATACAAAAAGCTCTTTGAGGGCAACCATAATGCTGATACGGCCCACGGTGAAATGGAGTTTGACACCCCTGATGTAGATGTACCCTTAAACTGGAGTCTGGTCATGAAAATTGTTGTATTTGAGATGGCAGGCTTACATGATTGAAACATTTTCCCCTTGAGGTAACAATAGGCGCCTTTTGTCGTGGCCTCTCCAAGCCACACTGGAGTTGGCATTCTCTGTTTCCTACATGCCCACAGGAGATGTTCATTTCTCGGGAATCCATCCCACCACAACAAGGTATTTGTTCCAACATACAGAGAGCAGAGAATCGCCATATAAAGGAACAAGATCTCACTGCTGGGATGAATGGAGACATTCTGCTGGAATTCGTCAGAAAGTGACCAAGTAAAAAGTTAGGTGAGGTTGGTGCCCTCGAATCCCCCCTCTAGGAAACCACAATGTGTACAATAAATCTCTCCTCTCGTAAAAACCGAACAGCGGTCAAGCGTCAACCCAAGTCAGTGGGGGAAAGGAAAAACCGGTCCTGATAAATTGTGAGTAGAGAAGTATGATCTGGAAACCAAAGCACTGAAAGCAGAACTTGCTAAGAAGAACGTATTGTACTAAACAGCTGGCTGTCAATCCCGAGAGTCAATGTGAAGCACTCATTGGGTTGGGGGTTGGGTAGCAAAGATTTCGTAGCAGAAAAAACTGAACTCATTAGCACTTTTTTTTTTACTTTAAAATATATTGGGCTGCCAGACTCATTCACCTTTCCAACTGCTCCGTTTCCGCCACCCCCCCTCTGCCAATCCCTCCACTGGCTTCCGATTGCGCAACGGATCAAATTCAAAATCTAACACTGATGTACAAAGCTGTCCACCATACTGCCCCGAACTACATCACTGACCTAATATCCAAGTACCACCCAGCACGCACACTCCGCTCCTCACAAAGACCTTCTTCTCTCTAGTTCCCTGGTCTCCTCCTCCCATGCCCGCCTCCAGGACTTCTCCAGGGTGTCACCCATCCTCTGGAACTCCCTGCCCCAACCCATCAGATTATCACCTACTCTCCTCTCCTTTAGGCGCACCCCTGAAAACCCATCTCTTCAGGGAAGCCTACCCCACCCCCTGCTAACTTGCCAACCTCCTCCACTCTTCCTACCACTCCATCCCCCACAGCTATCTCCTCCTGTACCACCATCCTCTCCCTCCTAGATTGGAAGCTCCAAAGAGCAGGGCCCTCGATCCCCTCATGTTTTGCATTGTATTGTATTGTTCTGTCACATGTTCTGTCCCCTTTGTAATGTACAGCGCTGAGCGAACTATTGGCGCTTTATAAATACTGTATAATAATAATAATATTGTAGTCAGAGAAAGGTCAGTATTGCAGCAATATTAGCGATTTGTAGGTTGGTTGCTGAGCATTTTACTTTTTTGTAGAGTTTGAAGCTAGCTACGGAATCTACTGATGGTCATGGGGCTGTGTAGACAGTATTGTATGAAGCTCAAGTGGCAACACTATTGCTAGTCACAGATTGCCACAGAAAATAATTTGAAGATTTGAACAAAAAGAAAGGAATGGAGTGTATCCGGGTGCCAGATCACTTCCAAAAGAATGGGTAATATTTGGTGCCACGTCCTAATTATATTAGTCAAAAAATTGGAGGGAAAGAAACGCGGAAAAGGTTGCAAATGGACTTTAAAGGCACAGAAATTTCAAACACATTTTAGTAAAATCATTTGTATTTTATCATGAAAAAACATCTTGTAGTTTAAAAGTGGGGCAGCACAGTGGCTAAATGGTTAGCACTTCCACCTGGCAGTACTAGGGCCATTGGTTCAATTCCCAACCTCGGCGCCACTTGCCTGGAGTTTGCATGCTCTCCCTGTGCCTGCATGGGTTTCCTCCGGGTACTCCGGTTTCCTCCCACACTCCAAAGACATACTGGTAAGTTAATTGGCTCCTGTCTAAATTGTCCCTAGTATGTGTATGTATGAATGTAAGTTAGGGACCTTAGATTATACGCCCCTTGAGGGTTAGGGACTGATGTGAATGTACAATATATATGTAAAGCGCTGCATAAAATTTACAGCGCTATATAGGTACCTAAAATAAATAAATAAAATAAAAGATTATAGTTACACTATCCCCGCAGACAATGTCCCACAGCCCACCGTGTTCAAGGAACACATTAATGATTAAAGATGTAAAGACCACCAAATGGATCCTGTAAGGGGGGGGGGGGGGGGAGACATTAAGTCTCAGGAAAATGGCCCAATAGGTTTGGCGACAATGATCGCTTCTTCAGGGGCTTAGTAAGAGAATCTAAAAGAAATATACATAAATTAGATAAATCAAATTACAACATGTGAATACAAGAAAAAGGGCAAATTCATACCTTAACATAATATAACTTCCATGCATGGTGCATATTGATATCATATGTAAGTTATAATATGTTAAGGTATGAATTTGCCTTTTTTCTTGTATTCACATGTTGTAATTTGATTTATCTAATTTATGTACATTTCTTTTAGATTCTCTTACTAAGCCCCTGAAGAAGCGATCATTGTCGCCAAACATATTGGGCCATTTTCCTGAGACTTAATGTCTCTCACCCCCCCTTACAGGATCCATTTGGTGGTCTTTACATATTTAATCATCAATGTGTTCCTTGCACACGTTGGGCTGTGGGACATTGTCTGCGGGGATAGTGTAACTATAATCTTTTGAAACTGCAAGATGTTTTTTCATGACTTATTGTCATAATAAAGTACAAATGATTTGTTTGAATTTTTTGTGCCTTTAAAGTCCTTTTGCAACCTTTTCCCCTTTTCTTTCCCTCCAATTTCAGACTAATTTGAAGATTTGGACCACCCCAAGTTGCTGGTGCGTCATGGCCCATTTCTGCAAACCTACTATATTAAATTGTATGTAAAGCCAAAACTTGGTTGTGAATAAAGTGGGAGATTTTTATTGCTCAAAGGTTATTGGTGTAAAGTACTGGCTCATCTAATACAGGGGTGTCCAACCTAATGACCTTCCTGGGCCACACTGGAATAAGGATAGCTAATGAGCAGAAAAAGTCCGGCAGATGACAAGTTACCGTTCATTGAAATACACACTATACCTATCAGAGTAATAAAAACTTCATTTTCTTTGTAATATTTTTTATTGTAAAAGTGGGCAACATAAAACTAGTGAGATATTTGACATGGTTTCTGATAAAAAGAACACATCAATATCTGGTTCAATGGATGAAGAAGCAATTCTCCACGAATTCTCAAGGTGCTCATTGGATATTTTGGTTCTAATTTTGCCTTTCGTGGTCTTCATCCTTGGAAATACAGCGGGGCAAAAAAGTATTTAGTCAGCCACCAATTGTGCAAGTTCTCCCACTTAAAAAGATGAGAGAGGCCTGTAATTGGCATCATAGGTAGACCTCAACTATGAGAGACAAAATGAGAAAAAAAATCCAGACAATCACATTGGCTGATCTGGAAAGAATTTATTTGCAAATTATGGTGGAAAATAAGTATTTGGTCAATATCAAAAGTTTATCTCAGTACTTTGTTATATATCCTTTGTTGGCAATGACAGAGGTCAAACGTTTCCTGTAAGTCTTCACAAGGTTGCCACACACTGTTGCTGGTATGTTGGCCCATCCTCCATGCAGATCTCCTCTAGAGCAGTGATGTTTTGGGGCTGTCGCTGGGCAACATGGACTTTTAACTCCCTCCAAAGGTTTTCTATGGGGTTGAGATCTGGAGACTGGCTAGGCAACTCCAGGACCTTGAAATGCTTCTTACAAAGCCACTCCTTTGTTGCCCGGGCGGTATGTTTGGGATCATTGTCATGTTGGAAGACCCAGCCACGTTTCATCTTCAATGCCCTTGCTCATGGAAGGAGGTTTGCGCTCAAAATCTCACGATACATGGCCCCATTCATTCTGTCCTGTACATGGATCAGTCGTCCTGGTCCCTTTGCGAAGAAACCGCCCCAAAGCATGATGTTGCCACCCCCATGCTTCACAGTAGGTATGGTGTTCTTTGGATGCAACTCAGCATCCTCTCTCCTCCAAACACGACGAGTTGTGTTTCTACCAAACAGTTCTATTTTGGTTTCATCTGACCATATGACATTCTCCCAATCCTCTTCTGGATCATCCAAATGCTCTCTAGCAAACTTCGGACGGCCCGGACATGTACTGGCTTAAGCAGGGGGACACGTCTGGCACTGCAGGGTCTGAGTCACTGGCGGCGTAGTGTGTTACTGATGGTAGCCATTGTTACGTTGGTCCCGGCTCTCTGCAGGTCATTCACTAGGTCCCCCCTGTGTGGTCCTGGGATTTTTTTCTCACCGTTCTTGTGATTATTTTGACCCCACGGGGTGAGATCTTGCGTGGAGCCCCAGATCGAGGGAGATTATCAGTGGTCTTGTATGTCTTCCATTTTCTAATTATATTGCTCCCACAGTTGATTTGTTCACACCAAGATGCTTGCCTATTGCAGATTCAGTCTTCCCAGCCTGGTGCAGGTCTACAATTTTGTTTCTAGTGTCCTTCGACAGCTCTTAGGTCTTCACCATAGTGGAGTTTGGCGTGTGACTGTTTGAGGTTGTGGACAGGTGTCTTTTATACTGATAACAAGTTCAAACAGG